TTGTCTGTTCCCCTTCCCCCAATTCCCCAGCACTGTTACCTTCCCCCCAATACCCCAATAAAAATCTTAAAAAAAAAAATAGTAGCCATTGTAGTGGAGGTGAAGTAATATCTGGCGGTTTTGATTTGCATTTCCCTGATGATGAGTTATGTTGAGCATCTTTTCATGAGCTCGTTGGCTGTTTGTATATGTTCTTTGAAGAGATGTCTATTCAGGTCCTTTGCCCATTTTTAATTGGGTTCTTGAGTTTTAGGAGTTCTCTATATATTCTGGATATCAATCCCTTATCAAATATATTTGCAACTATTTTCTCCCATTCTGTGGGTTGCCTTTTTATTCTGTTGATAGTGTCCTTTGGTGCACGAAAAGTTTGAATTTTGATAAAGTACAACTCGTCTATGTTTTGTCTTTTGTTGCCTGTGCCTTTGGCGTCATAGTCAAGAAACATTGCTAAATTCATTATCGTGAAGTTTTCCCCTGTTTTCTTCTAAGGGTTTTGTGGTTTTAGTCTTCTGTTCAGGTCTTTTACCTCTTCTGCATTGATTTTTGCATGTGGTGTTAGATAAGGGCCCAACTTCATTTGTTGCGTGTGGATGGATATCCAGTTTGGGGAAGATGTACTTTTATGCCAAAGAAAACATGTCATGGTTTATAAGACAAAGCATCACTCTCCCTGCTTTCCCAGCTCAGTGAGGGGACTGGTCCTGAGCCCCCTCCCTTCCTTGGTGGGGCCCCACCAGGCCTCAGACTAGCGGAACTTCCTGAGGCTCTGCCTCCGGGACGGTCCTGGGCCAGCTCCCTCAGACCCACCTGGGGAGAACTCTGAGATCCCCGCAGACCTGCACTCTCCAGGCTGGGGCCTTGGGGCTCATTTCACAGGTGACTCTTTTTTTTTTTTAAGATTTTTTTTTTTTTATTGAGGAATTGGGGGAAGGGGAACAGACAAGTTNACCTCCCCCACCCCGGCCTCACTCAGAAACCCCAAAAGCAAGTCATCGCTCTGGGAGCACCCCCACGGTAAGAGAGCCCCCTACTTACCAGAAGAGTATCCGTAAAATATTGGCCACCAGGAGCACCAGACACACGTAAGGAGAGAAGCCCTCGGCGTTCTGAGTCCTCCGGATATCCCGGTACTGCGGGATGTAGGGCACCACCCCTCCGAAGATCATGGCCCCAGCTGCCCCCCAGGACACCAGCTGGTGCAGCGGGACCAAAAGCCAATCCAAGCCTTGCGCGTCCATGGCGAACACCTGCGCCCGCCCTGCCCGCGGGCTGACGTCCACCTGGCCAAGTCCCCTTCGTTCCCACGGGCTCCCGGAACGCGCCTGGACTGTCACCCCCACATGGCCGCCACTACCCTGTGCGAGCCTCCGCCACCGGAGTCTGGAAAGAGAGGAGAAGAGATAAAGACCTGGGGCCGGGGCCCTCGAGCAGAGGGGGGGCCGCGCTCCGCAGGGACAGCCGGGAGGCCGAGGCCGCGCCCGGGGCGCACGCGGGGGCGCACGGCTGCGGCGCGACCCCTTCTCGGGCACGGCGGCTCGGGGAAACCTCGGCGCGCGCACCGGCATCCGCGGCGGGACAGACGCGCGGACGCGCGGCCCGGGAGGTGGGGGAGACGCGGTCCTGGGGTTGTGCTCAGTCCGGGGGGGGGGGATCTGGGTCCTGGGGGGCTTGGTCCTGGAGGTGGACGAGGGTCCGAGGGGGCTCCTGGGGGAGCTCGGTCCTGGGTGGACTCGGCCCTGGGGTCCCGTCCGGTGGCGCCCGCCCTGTGCCCCGCGCCCACGCGTGCCCCCGATCCCGCCCTGCACTCACCCGCCGCGCCGGCTCGCGGATACGCCGGGCGTCCGTTTGTCTGTCTGACCGAGCCTGGGGCCCCGCCCCGGCGTGACGTCACAATACCCGAGGCCCCGCCCACGCGAGCCGGTAGGGCGCCGCCGGGTCCTAGAGAGCGCGGTGCGGACGGGGTGGGGGGGGTGCGGGGACCGGGGGCGCGGCGCGGGCGCTCGGGCCTCCCGCGGACACTGCTCGGCCGCCCGCTCGGCTCAAGTTAGGCGATTCCTGCCTGGCGGGGCCGCTCCTTTAGGGCCAGGTGCTCGCGTGGACCCGTCTCCACCTGTCCCGGGGCGGCGGTCCTGTAGACGCGGCGCGGCGCCGCGGGGAGCGGAGGATGGTGTCCTGTCCGCGCCCCGCGGTCAGCGAGGGGCCTGGGGAGCCCCCTCGTGGGGACAGGGAGGGCCTGGGTGGACAGGCGACCCCCTCGTGAGGAAGGTCCGGGTGGAGGGACGTCACCCTTCGTGGGGACTGAGGGGAGTGGGTCGCCATCCGCGCGTCCCCAGGTGATTCCAGGGGTCCTTCCAAGCGATTATTTCTCTGACCCAGGGAGCCAGGGGCCCCACATCCTGACCCAGGCAGAGACCCGAGGAGCGGGATTAGAAAGTGTTCAGTGTCCGGGAGTTTAACCGGGTGGGGCGAGGCGGCCCCCGGGGGACTGAAGCCCACCCAGCAGCCCGCAGCCTCAGAGCGTCCCTTCCACATCACGCACCGCAGTGTCAGGGCGCAGGTGTCTTAGGGATGTTACCGCTTGGTCTCAGCCACGCTTTCTGTGAGGTGAATCACTAGGGTGCCCTTACAGACGTTGAAAATAGAAATTCCTGAGTTGTTTCCTGACCAAGGTGAAGCCCCCAGGGGCCCGAGGGTCGGTGCTCAGGACACAGATGCTGGAGGGCTGGAGTGCATGGAGCCCCGTGCCCAGGTGATGGGAGGAAGGGAACCCTGTGAGAAGCCAGCAGCCTGCGTGCCAGGGCCCTGGGAGGCGGGGCTCAGGGACCCCAGGATTCTGTCTGCAGAGCTGCGCCCTCAGAGCACCCCTGGTAAGCACGCAGACCCGAAGCACCCCAAAAGGGGATGCCTGGTGGATGAGGAAGGGTAGCCCCAGGGGCACACACCTGCCCCCCAGCTTGCGCACCACAGTGCCCCTTCCCCTCCCCCAAGTTCTGGCTGCCTGCTTCCTACCTGGTAGGTTTTGTGGGACACCATAAGAACAGTTACAGCCTCGCCAAGAGCAACTCCCCAACAAGCCTGGTGTGATTAAGGGGGGGGGGGCAGGAGGGGAACACAAGGTTGCTCTCTCTCCTCTCAAACCTGTGGCAGACCTTAGGTACTTCCGGGTTGTCACTATTCAGAGTATCCACAGGAAACGACAGAGAAACAAAAACCCAGTACTCAGAGAAGGTAGCCAGACAGGCTGGAGAGGAGGTGTTCCCGCTTAGCCACTTCCTACCCCAGCCCTAAAGCGTGTTAGAGGAAAGATGCAGGCTTCCTTTCTGACTCGGGAGTATCTGGGATCACCGCTGCTGGCCCTGTTTTCCTGGTATATGTGGGCAGATTGGTGGCCAGCGCATGGCCACCTGCAGTTCTGGACCTGTGAGGTGTGTGTGGGAACACCTCCAGGGTGCAGCTCAAGTCTGGGCAGCCCAGGAAGCCTCCGGGTGACTCGAATGTGCAGCCGGATATGAGAGCCACTTTTTTTTTTTTTTTTTTTTTTAGCTGAGTCATCCTGCCACCTGTTGGCATCTCAGAGGCTGCTCAGCTCGGGCTGGGAATCAAACTGCTGTTGCTCACAGCTCAAACTCTTGAGCGAGCTCTTAACCAACTGAGCCATTCAGCTGGCCCTAAGAGCCACTGTTTTAAAATGCACACCCGATACAGGAAGTCCTCGTGACTCAGCATATGTAATTTGCTTCCAGGAAAGGCCACTTACTATCAATGGGGCCAGAATTGTATAGTAAATAATTAGTGAATTAAAAAATAGTTTACAATATTACATTAAAAAATGAAAGCTAAAATTATGAAAATATTGCAACTTTTAGAATAAATAAAAAGAAGCCAAAAAATTCTATAATCTGTATACACAAATCTATACCACCAAAGAACCCTTCTTTTTTGACAGAATGTTTAAATGAGAATCTATTGTAGAAACACGTAAAAGCGGAGGTTGTCGCACAGTGAAGGCCAGCTAGCCATTGCCCAGTGTCAGTAACTCTAAAAGAGCTCTTTTAATGAGCATAAAATAAAAAGTGGACAAGACAGTCTAATTGACAGAATTTCTCCATTTCTTGGTGATGAAAGTGGATCTTAAAATCAGCAGCATCTTAGATTAGAAGCCTTAGAAATACAACCATACACATGGAGCTGGGTGTCTGGGCACTTCCCTGCCATTTACACTCCACGGGATAGAATTTCCTCTTACATCTATTGGGTTGTCAGAAAAGTCATGACGCAAGTTTGCGACAGATGGCACTAGTTCATTTTTGGAAGTATTAGAGTCTTTCGCATCTAAGTTATTGCTATGTCATTTGACAGCTGGCAGTTCTAGCTTCATTCTAAAAAAAAAAAAATTTAGTGGGTCGGCCGAGTGGCGTATTGGTTAAGAGCTGACTTGGGACGCTGGCTCTGAGCAGCAGGACCCCGGTTCGGATCCCACATGAGGGCCAGTGACGGTGCGCCCTCTACAGCTAAGATGGTGAACAACAGCTGGACCTGGAGCTGGGCTGCCATGAGTTGCTGGCGATGGCACAGGCTGCAGTGGGGCTGCAGTGGGCTGCCATAAGCTACCATGAGTGGCCGGCAGTCAGCGTGAGCTGACAAAAAAAAAACCTTAAAAAAAAAAAAAACAAGCTGAAGATGGAAAATCAAACTGTGCATTTTTGCCATATTTTACTTTTTACTTCCATCAAGGGAAGAATGTGTGTCAAGCTTGTGAAAAATTGCATAAAGTTTACGGTGACAATGCTCTACAAGACCGTCAGTGCCAATGATGGTTCACGAAATTCCATGCTGGTGATTTTGATCTCAATGATGCTCCTCGGTCAGGGAGGCCCACCGAGGTTGATGACAACAAAATAAAGGAATTGATAGAGTCAAACCCACGTTACACGACACCAGAGATTGCAGAAACACTGAACATCCACCATTCAAGCATTCACGACCACCTGAAGAAGCTGGGATACGTAAGCAAGCTCGATATTTGGGTTCCGCATAAACTCAAAGAAGGTCATTTGATGGCGCGAATAAACATCTGCAATATGCTCACTAAAAGTGAGGATAACGATCCTTTTTTGAAGCAACTGATAACTGGTAATGAGAAGTGGATTGTTTACAAAAATGTGGTGCGCAAACGGTCTTGGTCCCAACGTGATGATTGGCCTCAAATGACATCGAAAGCAGACATTCATTAGAGGAAGGCTATGCTCTCAGTGTGGCGGGATTTTAAAGGTGTCGTGTTTTTCGAGCTCCTACCAAGGAACCAAACAATCGATTCAAATGTGTACTGTTGGCAATTGGATAGTTTGAACGAATCCATCATCCAGAACCGTCCAGAGCTCGTTAATCGTAAAGGAGTTGTGTTCCATCGCAACAACGCGAGACCACACACAAGTTTGATCACCCGTCAAAAATTACTGGAGCTTGGATGGGATGTGTTGCCACACCCACCATACTCGCCTGACCTTGTGCTGTCAAACTTCCACTTGTCTCACTCGCTTCAAAACTCCTTGCGTGGTATAACATTCAATTCAGATTAGGCTGTAAAACAGCACCTTGTTCAGTTTTTCACAAATAAAGACAGGTCCTTCTATGAACGAGGAATTATGAAGCTCACTGAGATGGTAAAAGGTTATCGAAAAAAACAGGCAGTATATCATTGATTGATCTTTGTTCTTTATATAAATGAATGACCTTTGAAACACATAGACAAAATACGTCGTGACTTTTCCAACAACCCAATATTAAAATTTAAATTTTGGTTTTCTAATTTAAAGTTCTGTTTTACATTTAGCTTGTTATTATCTTGTCTTTGGTTCCGTAAGTATGCACTTCTTACTCAGACTCTGTTTTCTTCCCCATCTATCAATCTTTGCACCAGCAAAACACACAACCCCACAGCCCCACAGCTCTTGTGTGTAGACTTCCTAGATCAGCGACGTTAGAGGATTCCCGCTGAATCCCATTCCTGAAATTCAGTATTCTCAACAATGTGACTATCTTTTCCACATTAAAAAGTTTGTCTCCCACGGAGCTGGACTACCAAGAAGTATGAGTAGAAACATCCAGGGACTTGGTACAGAATGACAGATCCTGTTTCTCCCATGGACACTGGGTTCTCAGGGTCACCAGGGAATTTCCAGGTAGTTTCCTAGTGGACCAGTTGAGAAAGATAGAGCATGTATCAAAAATTACAAAAGGCGAGGGAGGAAGTAATGGGCCCTGGAATTCTTAGCTGAGCATTTGAAGCTGAGAAAAAGTACTTTTAAAATACATATTGTGGTAAAATATACATAATGTCCCTTCAATTGACCATTGTAACCATTGAAATGTCCAGTTCAGTAGCATTAAGTGCATTCACAGTGTGCAGCCATCACCACCATCAGGTCCAAAACGTTCCATCTTCCCAAACTGAAACCCTGCCATTTTACTTTCTTTCATTATGAATTTCAGTATTCTAGGTACTCCCTGTAAGTGGAATCATACAGCATTGAACCCTTTTGTGTCTGGCTCATTTCATTGAGCATAATGTCTTCAAGGGTCATCCATGTTGCAGCGTATGTTAGAACTTCCCTTTGAACAGTGAATAACATTCCATTGTGTGTGTCGCATTTGTTTATCCACTTGTCTCTCGCTGGACGCTTGGGTTGTGTCCTCCTTTTGGCTAGTGTAAGTAATGCTGCTGTGAACATGGTGTGCAAATATCTATCCAAGTCCCCGGTTTCACTCCTTTTGGGTGTACACCCAGAGGTGGAATTGCGGATTCATATGGCAACTCTATGTTGAATTTCTCACAGTACCACCCCCTACAGCGGGCGGCCCTATTTTACGTTCCCACCAGTGATACAAGGTTCCAATTTCTCCAACACTTGTTTCTGTTTATTTAATAGTAGCCATTGCAGGGCTGGCCGATGGCCGAGTGGCGCGATGGTTAAGAACTGGCTTGGGACGCCAGAGGGCCCCGGTTCGGATCCCACATATGAGGGCCAGTGACACTGCCCTCCACAG